ATGGAATGCAAGCCTCCGCCTGTGGCCTCACTGGGGCAGAGCAGAGGGGGAGGAGAACCTCCCTGGACCTGCTGGCCACACTCTTCTTCATACACCCCAGGACACCACTGGCCTTCCTGGCCACGAGGGCCCACTGCTGGCCCATGGGCAGCTCAGTGTAGAGCAGGACTCCCAGGTCCTTCTCCTTGGAGCTGCTTCCCAGCAGGTCAGCCCTTCACTTCTCCATGAGGTTGCCACGAGGACCACAGAGTGAGCTGCTGCATTGAGCTGTGGGCTCAGCACACCTCAGGCCAGACTCAGCCCCACGTCAGGGTCTTTGGCTCACACTGACCTGTCCCTGTTCTTGGTTAGGAGGTTGCGTTCGATGCCCTCCATGAGGTTCTCAAAGCAGAGGTGCATGGCCTGCTGCTTCTCAGGAGGCTGGCTGTTCACTATACTGTTCCTCAAGTCAGAGAAATACTGCAGAAGACAAGAGAAGGATGGGTTAAGTGCCAGAGGAACGGCCACCTTGGCTTTAGGACACACAACAGCTTCTCAAGGGAAGGGAGGGAACATGTTACAGCTCTTTGAGGGATTTCTAGTGCCCTTATCAGTGAAAGTTAAGAGTTCCTCAGCACCAAGGCTGCTGCAGGGGAGGGCTGGACACCCTTGGACATCCCAGGACATCCCAGCTGGGATAGCAGGGTGGGCTCTTCACCTTTTCATTGAGCAGTATCAAGCCGAGCAGAGGTCGAGACATGGACCACTGGTTCCTGCAGTCCTCGAAGATGATGATGTTCAGCACTGTTGACAGCATCTGGAAGAGGGAAAGGGAGGTTTAAACCCTGTGGGCTGAGGAGCAACGTCCAACCTTTGATGAATCCAGTGCTGGAGCCTCAGTGCTACAGAGATCTGACAAAAGGAAGGACCTGCAGGCCCCATGAACTCCAGGAGAACTTCACTAAAGGCTCAGAGATGCTGAAAGCTGCTGAGATATTCATTCCTGACACACTCCACCCTGCCCCCAGGCAGCCAGGGGGAAGATTGTCTCATCTTCATTTGAACAAGGAGCAGCTGAGGGAGCTGGGGGTGCTGAGCCTGGAGCAAAGGAGGCTCAGGGGAGACCTTCTGGCTCTGCACAGCTCCTGACAGGAGGTTAGAGCCAGTGGGGAAGTGGTCACAGAACCATTCCATGATTTGAAGTGCTTGAACACCAAAAGCAGCAGCTCTGGTGCCCTGAGGAGCTTCCACACTCGGGGTGTCTGCTCCCTTCCACTGCCTCCTTTGGCCAAAGCCTCTAACAGAGCTGGTTTGGAAGATGCAGTTTCTTTCTTTATTCTCAGAAAACACAGCTTTTAGCCCCAAAAAAGCCTGTTCTTCTTTGCATTTGATCTCCCAGTGTGGGTGGAACAGTATTTCCTGCTTCCACGTGGGAGTGGTGCTGACACTTTGACAGGCAGCAGCGAGCAAGGCTGGATGGCACCACCAGAGCTGCACCAAGAGCTGCTGCTCAGAGAGGGTTAAAAAACAGATAAAAGGGATAGTGCTGCAGGCTGAGGACATCCAGAGCCCAGTGCAGGGCCCTCTGGAGCACCAAGACCTCCAGGAGAAGAATCAGCTGTCACTGTGTGATACAGAGGGACCTAAATGACATGGGACCTGTAGGTATATCATAGAATCCCAGACTGGTTTGGGTGGGGAGGGACCTGTCAAGGTCCATCTCATCCAACCCCCCTGCAGGGAGCAGGGACAGCCCCAGCTAGAGCAGGGTGCTCAGAGCTTGGTCCAACCTCCCCTGGGATGGTTCCAGGGATGGGGCAGCAACCACCTCTCTGGGCAACCTCCAACAGGGGCTCCCCACCCTCAGCATCACTCCAGTCTCAATCTCCCTCTTTTAGCTTCCAACCATCCCCCCTTGTCCTGTCCCAACAGGCCCTGCTCAAAACTCTGTCCCCACCTTTCTGACAGGTCCCTTGAAGGCCACTGGGTGGTGTCCCCAGAGTCCTCTCCTCTTTAGGCTGCCCAATCCCCACTCTCTCAGCCTGTCCTCATCTCTGATCTGCCATCACCCCTCGCAACTGTATTTCTCTTTAGGAAAAAAAAAAGAGAAAAGCTCATTTTTGGCTACTTCCTTTCTTATTTGAACTGCAAACCCAGGCTTCCTTGCCCAAGGAGAACCACAGCCCTTGAAGCATGGCTTTGACTCAGACCTACCACAGGAGGGGAGCGTAGGAGAGGTGCAACACCAGCCAAAAAAAAATCCCTTTTTACTCCGGAAAAGCCCCGGGCTCTAGAGCAAGGAAGCATCCAACCCCCATATTACATCACACCAAGGCTTTTGTCAGGGATTTCAGGGTGCCCTGCCCCAAGCAGGCCCCAGGCTTTGGGTCTTCACCTGCTGGATCATCTCGGGGTGCTGCTGCATGATGTGCAGGAAGCGGTCGCTCTCCTGGGTCAGGGGGGTGCTCCTCTTCTTGGTGCTGCGAGACAGTTGCTTGAAGAGATAGGTGACAATGTGGTCCAAACAGGAGCAGCAGCCTGTGCAAACCATGGTGTCTGCCAAAAAAGGAGAAGGGGAGAGGTTGGGGCCCTGCCAGCCTGGCTCCCACGCTGGGTTTTGGGGGAGCACCATCGTTTATTTGGGTTCTTTCAGCAGGGACCACCCGACCCTTGAACAGCTCAGCAGCTTCCACACTGACAAAGCTTCAGCTTTAAGAGAGGTGAAAGTCCTCCACCCATCCAATATGTGTCTTAACTTGCCACCAAAATCCTTCCCCACCTCCAAATCCAAGCCCCAAGAGCAGCACAGAGCAGGGCAGCAGTTACCTAGTGCAGTGAGGCCTTCTGAAATGGAAGAGAGAATATACATGATTACATGAGGCTCCAGACTGGCTATAAAGTTCATGTGGTCCTGGGTAAGAACTTCCAGCAAGGAATAATACGACTGGCTGAGCTTGGGATAATCCTGTAGAGAAGAGAGAAAGACTTGTAAGGCCTTGTGGCTAATGTAACCATCAGTTAAGGCTTTAAGCTAGACCCAGCCCATTCATTACTCACCTGAAAAGTGCTTACTGATCTCTTGGAAAGGGAACAAACCAACCCCCTCTTGCAGCAACAACCAATTTCCCACCTTTCACCCCTGCTAAAACCTTCCAAACAGGCTCCAGCAACAACTATCCCACTACTTATGACTCCTCAGACTCAAGGGGACTCTGCTGGGAGTCCTGCAGAGAGGCCCCACCTCCAGAGCACTGCTTTGGCCAGGGGGATATTAAGTCAGGAACGTGCTGGAGGCAGTCACAGAGATGGCAGCAGCTCCTTCCAGAGCCTGCTGGGGTGGTGAGGCAGGTAAGGCTTGGGAGAGGAATGTGCTGCCTTCTCTACTTGGTATTTGGCCAAGTCAGACTGTGCTGACAGGGTCAAGATCTGCTGCAAAATGGATTCATTAGTATAACATATATATAATATAATATCTCTCTCTCTCTCTCTCTCTCTTTATCTATATATATAAAAATATGGTTTTGAGGGCCACAAAAATCATTAGGCAGCTGGAAGCCCTTTGCTGTGAGGCCAGGCTGAGAGAGCTGGGGATGTTCAGCCTAGAAAAGGCTCTAAGGAGACTTTCTTGTGGCCTTTCAGTGCTTTGAAGGAGCCTGCCAGACACCTGGGGACAGAGTATTGAGCAGGGCCTGTTGGGACAGGACAAGGGGGGAATGGTTTGAAGCTAAAAGAGGGAGATTTTGACTAGAAAGGAGGAATTATTTTGCTGATTTCTCTGCTGAGTCCTGGAGCACACACCCTGCTGGAGAGCTGGACCTTGGGCAGGGGGGGGGTCACAGCCTGCAGGCAGGACCCCCATCCCAAGGGCTGCTCTGTATGACCTCCCAGCCCTGCTTTCCCTAGCTGTGGACTTACCAGAAGGTCACTGTGGGGGATGGAAAGCAGAAGCTTGATAAAGGTTTGCAAGGCATTGTCCAGTGCATCATCCCCATACAGTCGGAAGACCCCAAAGTTGACGTAGCTCCCACTCAGTGCAGCCTTCAGCATAGAGAAGCAGATGGAAATCCCCTTGAGCTTCAAGGCATAGACTTGATCCTTTGGGACCTCCCCAAGCGTTAGGATACGATTTCCTGCACGAGCACAGAAGCAGACTCAGTATTTCAGCAACCACATCCGACCCCATTCCCCCCCAGGGTGCAGGAAAAACCAGAGTGGAGCCACAAGGGGTGACAGAGAGTTGGCCACAAGCATCAAAGACTCCAGCTCAAGGTTAAAGAAGCTGTTGCCAGTTAAAAGTGTGGCTCTTGTAGATGCCCCATGCTGGAAGCATTAAAAATCAGGTTGGAGGGGGCCTTGAGTAACTTGCTCTGGTGGAAGGTGTCCCTGCTCCTGGCAGGGGACTTGAAATGAGATGGCCTTTAAGGTCCCTTCCAATGTAAACCACTCTATGATTCTAGACTAGGAGCCATGGGAGAACACAGCTACGTGTGATTTTGGTGTGGGAACAGGACAGCACCAGGACAGGATTGCTCTCCACTTCCTCAGCAGGTTCACCCACATCACCTCGTGCACTCCCAAGGGGCTCAGCTGGGGCTCCAGCTCCTTGCTGTCACCTTCCTCCTCATCAGCATGCCCCCAACCTGCCCCTTCTGCTCACCTGCCACCCCAGAGCTTCCAGCAGAAGCATCTCCCCAACCCAAGCGTGCATTCAGCCAGCAGTTGGCACAGCTCACAGCCTGGGCTCACTCTCCCAGCTGGCAGGAGCCCCAGCCCTGGCTCCCTGGGCCAGCAGAGGAGTCAAGGGCAGAGGAAAGCTGCCCAGCTCCCACCTGCTGGAGACTCACCATATGTAGTTATCATTTTACTGGTTTCTCTGAAGAGCAGGATGCCATTGGGTGAGGACACGTCGAACTGCAGCCGTTGGGACCTAATGGGAAGACAGGGAATGAAGTGGAGCTTTGGGAGCAGGCCCTGAGCTAATGCTCCAGCACCTCCGTTTGCTGCCACGTCCTGGGGCACCCTCCTCTGAGTTCAACACGACACCCTGGGCTGGGAAAAAGCTTTGTGAGCAAAGCCAAGGCAGGACACAGCCCCTCTGGGACAGATGAGCTCTGCTGGGGCAGAAGAAAGGGGCTGTATTTCACAGCCCTGAGGAATAGGAGAGGCTCCAGCCCTTGGCAATAATCACTAGGCTACTGTACACAAACACAGCAAACGTCTTGGAAGCAGCACTGACTAGATCCTATTCACAACATGAGCAAGAATTCAGAGCTTGGCATTTTATGCCCCTCTGCAGTGAATAGATCTCACAATTGAAGTGCAGTGAGTTGTCCAGTTCACCTCTGAACTGAAGGAGGGGACGTATTCCAGGAAGGATTGTCCTTCTGGAAGCAAAGAGGCTGCTTGGATGTGGCAAAGAGCCTGAGAGGATGGAGAGACAGCTCTGAAATGCCTGAACCTTGTGTCCCTTCCACTGGGCTGTGACAACAGTGCCTTCCTACAGTGTTGTGTTCAGCTGGCCACAGGCCAGGGCAACATCTTGGCAACCTTCCCACGGGCAGATTAGCCAGCTTCTGAATGATCTGAATAGCGTCAGAGGTACCTCTCTGCTGGCAAAAAGAGCTGATGCTCTAAAGCCAAAGTGGTCATCTGGCTGCCGGAGAGAACCACGCTCATTTTAAACACAGGTTTTAAATCTGAACATCAGCTGCTGCCTCCATCTCACAGTGCTGCCCTTGGGAGCAGACACTGAACAAATTCAGCACTTATCGATCGTGTCCCTGGGCCTGGCTGAGCCAGGACACAGCTGGTGGCCCCACTGCAAGGACACTGAGGGGCTGGAGGGTGGCCAGAGAAGGGCAACGAAGCTGGGGAAGGGTCTAGAGGGCAAGCTGAGGGAGCTGGGGGTGCTGAGCCTGGAGCAAAGGAGGCTCAGGGGAGACCTTCTGGCTCTGCACAGCTCCTGACAGGAGCCTGGAGCCAGGGGGGGGTCGGGCTCTGCTCCCAAGGGACAAGGGACAGGACAAGAGGAAACAGCCTCAGGTTGCCCCAGGGGAGGTTGAGGTTGGCCCTGAGGAACAATTTCTTGCCCTGGAGGGTTGCCCAGGGCTGTGCCAGGCTGCCCAGGGCAGTGGTGGAGTCCCCACCCCTGGAGGGGTTCCCAAGCCGTGGAGATGTGGGGTGAGGGACACAGGGCAGTGGGGACCTGGCAGTGCTGGGGGGTGGTTGGACTCCATGAGCTTGAAGCTCTCTCCCAACCAAACCCCACCTATGACTCTGTGACAGCTGAACTGTTGGATTTTCCTCCCTGCTGACACAATGCCAGTTCCCCCTGTCCCTTTGGCAGCTTTCAGAGCACAAACAGACCGAGGCAGAGAAAACACAGCTGGGCACCACCACCCACCCAAAGGCTGAAACAGCAGCAGGCAGACAGACAGACAGACAAATCCCTGCCAGCTTTCAGCTGCTGGACATTCATACCTATTATGTACCAGCTCAGCCATGAGTTTGAGGACGGGTGTAGTGCAGGCTGGGTCATGGTACCAGAGCTCAATTGCCCGCTGGAGGATTGGCATGTAGGAGGGGTAGCTGCAAGACGGGATGCTGAGGAACTTTGTGGCTTTGCATGAAGAAAAAAAGGTCCCAAGTTCTACCCAAAAAATGGTGTATTTCACGTGCTGCACCCAAGGTTTGCAAAGCAGTTTGTTTAACGAGGTTAAATAGAGATGCTGCTTGCTGGGCTCTGCTTTAGCCACAAAAAAATGATTAAAAAAACCCTTAAGTGTGTTGAAGGAGTTGTATAAACACTTATATGAGGACAAAGCAGAACCAAAAAGGTTCTGAATGAATGGGAAGACAGCTACAAGGATGTGTCACTGTGACAGCTGACCTTCCCCAGCCCAAGAGAAATGTGGAGCCCGTGCCCTGTGCTCTTTGAACAGCTCTGCTCTCACCACGAGCACAAAGACACCAACTGCTCTTGGCTTTCCTGAGCAAGAGAAGAGGCTTTTGTCACTGCTGAGACACAAGCAGCCCATTAAAGGCCTTTGTGCTTTACAGGTCACATCTCTTTAGGTGCACTGGGAAAAACCCCAACAGTTCAGCTCTCAGCAGGTTTCCAGGTTGACTTGGTTACAGACAGACCAACTCAAATCTATTTTAGGGCTTAGAGACAGGACACTGAGTACTATAAAAGTGAAGAGAAACCCCAGTCAGGATTTAGGAAGGAAAAAAGGGCATTTGGATGCAGTGAGCCTGAGTTTCCCCCCTCTGACAGACAGAATGACTCAAGTTTTAGGGTAACTGAAGGATACATCCACTCAAACAGCATCATGAAGCTGGTCTTGGCATTGAAGGCAAATGCTATTCCCCTCAGGTCTCTCACCAAACCAACCAAAGTTCTCTGGATTGGAAAAGAAAAGACAGGTTTAAACGTAAGGCATGTACAGATCCTCTCCCTCCCTGCTCCCCCAGCCCAGAGCTGCTTCCCTTCCTCCCAGCCCACACATTACAGCCCTTCTGTGCAGGATGCCAACCCCAGGTTAGACAGTTCTTCCTCCTCAGTGCCAGAATTCCTCTCTGATGTGAGGCAGCACAGTGCAGTACTGGGGTATTTCATTCCTAGCAGGAAGAGGAGCCTCCCTGCTTTGATTACAAACTACCCCAGGACCCCAAAGGGGTACAGGGCACATCACCACTTTCCCAGATACTGCAAGTGCCCAACATTCCAACATCTGCTTGTCTCCTTTAGAGGGGAGAATGGCTCTCAGCCTGAGTTACTTGTTCTCTCCTGTCTGAACTGAAAGTGGCAAAACCCCTAAGGGAAA